AGTGGGCTGGGCCTCTGAGTTCAGCTCTCCCTGCTTGGACGTTTAGCCCCTTTCCACCTCTCCACCCTCCTCCTTCCTCGCTTTTGGATGCTAGGTGGGAGCCTGGGTTGTGAGGTGTTAAGAAGAGGCATGTGCTACAGAGAAGGATATTTGTCTCCATTGGAGGTGCTGAGGGGAGCCCAGGGCATTCAGAAAATGTGTCATGATGAGGGTGTGCGCCCTGTCTCAAGCAAGCACCTCATCTGCCTTCCCGGCCTCAAGCTGACTCATGGGAATCAGTCGTGAGAATAACCTACACACTGACAAATGCCTCTAGCGGTGGAGACTCTTAGGAAGAGAACTCTACAAGGGATCCTGGGTGTGTTTTCACTCGAGGCTGTGGTGGTAAGAAACCAAGGCTCAGAGTGGTGACCCAGTTCATTGCAGATGCCTCAGCAAGTCAGTGGGGATACCTGAGATGGATCCTGGGTTCCTGACTCCATGCCCAGCGCCCTCAGGAAACAGAACAGGGGTCAGTGCCACTGGTCACAGGCAAAGATCACGATGATAATACAAGTGTGTGAGAGTGTCAAAAAGCTTTGGCTGAGAAAGAGCCTGCCAACTTAAATTATTAATGGGACTTCCACGGGAGGAATCAGAAACATGGAGGTCTTCCTGAGCACACCCCAACAGAGCAAGACTTCTCACACAAATCACAGAAACTGCTAGGATCCCTGGGAGTCCAAGGTCAGGATCAAGGCCAAGGGGAAGCCACAGGCAAAGTTCATGCTGGCCATGTCCAGCTGTGAATCCACCTTCCCCGCTGGCCTGTGTTAGAATTATAGAATGCACAGATAAAGAGGAAGAGAACCCTCTGACATCATTTCATCTTTTTCCTCAGTTAACCTATGAGAGAGGGGCATCTCAGTTTCTCCAGGTGCCAAATCCCAGATTTTCAAAAAGTATAGGCTCTGGGCCCTCTTCAGAGTACTGAAGAGCAATGATGGCAGTCTAGAGACTAAGGTGCACCTGATCCAGGTCATAATCTTTGCAATTACTTGCTATGCATCAGAAAGCTGGACAATGACTAGGGATGATATAAGGAAAATTGATGCATTTAAGCTGTGGTGCTGGAGAAGAGTATTGAATATACCATAGACTGCTAGAAGAACAAACAAGTTTATCCTAGAGAGGGTGAAATCATACTTCTCCTTGGAGGCAAGGATTTTGAAGCTCCATCTGACATACTTTGGGCATGTTGCAAGGAAGGCCAGTCCTTGTATAGGGACATCATGCTTGGGAGGGTGGAGGGACAGCACAAGAGAGGAATATCCTCGATAAGCTGGATTGACTCAGTGACTGGAGTAATGAGGGTAGGTGTGTCAGAGACAATGAAGTTGGCTTAGGATAGATCAGGGTTCAGGGCTGTTGTACATAGGGTCGCTATGAGTCACAAACAACTTAATGGCACATAACAACAGAAAATAGGCCAGTGGCCACCAGGTACTCAATGACTGCTTGTTAATACCTAGTACAGTACAACTCACAGTGAACCTACGAACAACAGATCTGAACCCTGTCCCATCCTGAGCCATTCCCATCGCCTCTGACATACTTAAGTCCATTGTTGGTCAGTGTGTCAATCTCTCTTGTTGAGGGTTGTCCGTCCTTTCCTTTCCCTCCCTCCCTCCCTCCCTCTTTCTTTCTTCTTTCTTTCTTTCCTTCCTTCCTTCCTTCCTTCCTTCCTTCCTTTCTTTCTTTCTTTCTCCCTCCATCTTTCCTAGGAACAGCCTTTCCAGTCTAGAGGCAGGAGAGTCTGCATTGCTATGCTTGTGTTGCAGGCTGTCTTGCATGCCCAGGGGTCTTCCGGGCTTACTCTGTGCTCTCCAAGAAAGCCCAGCATTGGAGGTATGAGAATAACACAAGGCTGCAGCAAGAACTGAGTTGGTGCTGGGTATGACAGTGCCTCTCAGGTCATCAGCTCATCCAGAAAGCTCCACAACAAATCAGAAAGTTCATACCCCAACTAGACCTCCCATAGAGGTGGACTGTCACTCCCCTCCTTCAGCCCATCCACAATCAGGATTCACACTTACAGTCATAGAAGAGGTGAGGCCTAGGAAACGCAAAAGTCAGAGTCCTGTCCCTGTGCCAGTGACTTCAGGGTGGCTTTGACCCAGCCCCAGCCTCCTTAGGGTTGGCAGGTGAAAACATACTCTGGTGCTAAATCCTTGCTTTCCCCAAGCTGGCTGGGTGGAACACAGGCCTGTTACATCTCTGTGCCTCCATTTGCTCATTTGTAAAATGCATCTGCTACTCTCTCATAATAAAGCTGCAAGGTGTAAATGGGTAAACCTGTGCAAAGTACTTAGAATGCTGCCAGGCAAACGGAAGGCATTGTTTGCTACTATTTCTTTCTTCTCTACACTGCCCTGGTGAGGTGGCACCCATGCCCCTAGAGCTTCTAGGGGGAACGAGGGTGTGGTGCAAAAAGAGGCTGCAGGAAGGCCTGCCTAGGGCATCACATGAACCACTTGGCAGAGCTGGGCTGGCATTCAGATCTGGTTAGTGCTGGGCTGGACCCCAGGGACACAAGTGTGAGAGGCAGGGGCCTGAGCTTCTTCTAGAAGTAGCTATAAATTAACTTTACAGATTGGTTATCAGAAGCACCCCTACTCCCCTTCCCCACAGACGTAGGCCGGCTGGCAAAGGGCAGAATGCAAGTGAGCTGAGATAGGAGAGGTGGCAAATTGTTGGTCTTGATTTTTCCTTTTCTCTCTTCCTTCTTGCCATTACCAAATCTGCAGGGAAGGCTGGGTTTGTCAAAGCAACTGGCTATCTGACTTGATCACTGAAGGAGATTGAAAATGTTAACTCATGCATGAGTAGGCTTCCCTCCCGATCTAGATGCTTCCCAACAACTCCTTTTCTCAGCTTCTGTAAGAGCCTCCACCGATCTGGCTCTATGCTAAGTTAGAGTAGAGCTGGGGGAAGGCCGAGGCTATAGTCTAGGCACACTCTCTCACCCTCCGGTGGCTGTGCTCCAACCCAAAGCCCCAGCAACCTCCACAGTCCTCATCACATTCCAGCCATGGAGGCACCTTTTAGAAGCTTTTTCCTTACATCTTGCCCCTCCTCTCCTTAAAAGGGCATCTGGGCCTGTAGGGCCGAAGTCCGTGTGGGACAGGCCCATGTTGGGAAACAACTGGGCTGGCCGAGGCTTTCAAGCCCTCGGCGTGCTGAGGCCCCAGTGGGTGAGCTGAAGTCCTGAACAAACTGACACGCGTCGCTGCATCAGAAGCCAGCCGACTCTCCTGGGGCCCGGGCTATAGGTCAGTTAGAGGGTTAATCAAGCCCAGCACTGCCCAGGCTGCTGAATCCTTGGCCAAGCATCCAAAAGAGGAGAGAGTATTAATAACTTGGTGATACGGCCACCACTGTGGGGACGTCCTTCCAGATAGGATGAGCCAGACGAGGAGACTCCTGGGCACTCTCCCGAAACAGTCAGGATGCGCATAGGACCTGCAGGTCCAGCCCAGAGTCCAGTGTAAGCTCGAGATCTGGTGAAGGGACCCTGAGGAGAGTAACAAAAGCAGCAGGGAGAGGAGGACTGGGTCTGGAGATGACGAGACCCTGCCTCCATGGCAGAAAGCGGTGATGATAAAGCCTCCCTTTCTCAAGGTGCAGAGTCATGAGAGTGTGACCACTGAATGCTGGCAATAATGCTAGAAATAATGGCCAAGCACATTGATTAAAGCCTCTGTCCTGGCTATTTACAGGCCTCGTCTTAATTCTGTCTCCAACAACCCCATTAGATACCTTGATTATCTTGTTGTACAGATGGGGAAATTGAGGTTTAGAGGTTAGTTATTTGCACAAGATCACACAGCAATTATGCAGAGGAGCTAGGAGATGAAAAGCTGAGTTGCACTTGTGGAAAATAAAACATTGCTACACCCCAGCTTGTTCACTGGGTGTTCAGGATCATAGTTGACTAGATGGCCCCTAACAACAGCATCCTCCAGCCTTCCTCAACATGTGAGCACCCCAAAAGCAGGGAATGTTTTCCCCTTGTTGGGCTTGGGTTTAGAAGTCCCAAAGGGAGGAAGGAGAGATGATGAAAGCAGTTAAGACACAATCTATGCATTTGCGGAATTTACAGCTATGTGTATTGTTCGATTTTTTAAAAGTTTTAATAGTTACATTCCAAAGGGACAAGATTGTATTTCATGAAAAGCCCCTCTCTCACCTCTGCTCCCTGGAAGCAACCACCACTAAGTTTTTTGTAAGTGATTATTCCAGAAGTTCGTTGTTGTTATTGTTGTGTACTGTTGAGTTGGCCCCCAACTTGGCTGACCCTCCAGCAGGTTTTCAGAGGCAGTTTAATCACCCAGGAGGAGACTGTCCATCTTTGCCCCATAGAGCAGTTGGTGGATTCGAACAGCATGCCTTCGGGTTGGTAGCGCAGCTCTTTACCACTAGGTCACCAGACCTCATTCCAGAAGTAGTCAAAGCATATTGACAGTTGTATTTAAATAGGTCCAGTTCTTGGAGAAGGACATCCTGCTCGGAAGGGTGGAGGGGCAGCGCAAGGGAGGAAGAGCCTGGAAGAGATGGATTGACACAGTGACTGGGGCGATGGGGGTTGATGAGTCGGAATCAGTGAGACTGGCTCAGGACAGGGCAGGCTTCAGAGCTGCTGGGCGTAGGGTCGCTATGGGTGGCAGGTGACTTGACAACACATAACAACAACAATACAAACATTTAATTATGTTGAGGAACCTGCTCTGGACAGTGGCTGGGCGTCCTCCCCTAGGACATCACCAGCCTCATGATTTCCATCTTCTTCCTCTGCTTTCCAGAGACCCCCAGAGAGTGTGCAGAGGGAAAGCACTGTCCTACAAGCAATAAAGGCCAAGGAGGAAGGAGCTGAGGACTGCTGACAGCCCAGAGCTGTGTCCAAGAGCTGCTACTTCTTCACGTGGACTCTGTCGGGCAGCCTACTCCCCGTGCCACCCACCATGGTCGTGCAGGACAGCATGGACACTGGAGACAAAAGAATGGGCGTGCAGCTAGAGCCCTTCCTGCACCAGGTTGGGGGGCACCTGAGCGTACTGCAGTACGACGAACACACCGTGTGCAAGCCTCTCATCTCGCAGGAGCAGAGGTTCTATGAGTCCCTTCCGCTGGCCATGAAGCGGTTCACTCCTCAGTACAAAGGTGAGTGTCCAGGTGTCAACCTACACATCAGAAGGGCTTATCCGCACATCCACCAGCCCCGGGTGTGTATGTGTGGTTGCCATGGAGACATGCCCCTCTCCCACCACAGAAGCTGAGTCTTAATTGCCCTCGCTCTGAACTCCTAAAGCCTCCAGGTCTAGCGCTGAATGTCATTTGGCTTTCCTGCAAACTAGTGCAGGCTGCCAGGCTTTGAGGAACGGAGAATGGAACAGAAGGACACCCCAGGCCCAGGCTGATGATGAGACTTCAGGTCTGTGCTGTGGAAGGTGTCATGGCCAGGTCACCTGACCATGGCTGGCAAACACAGGACAGATGGAGGGCACGTTAACCTCCCTCAAGAGGCCTAGCCAGGACATGGAGATGGGTTTTCCAGGCAGGAGGATAACTATGGAGGCCTCCAGACTCCAGTGCAAGCTGTTTCATCTACCTCCAACTTCCAATAAGTGAGGTTCACCAGGCTTGGCCGATGATTTTGTCAGGAGGCCAGGCCTGGAGATGGGACTAAGGCTCAAAGGAAAGGCCTTCTTTAAAGGATGTTAGAGTTCATGACTTTACACTCTGCCCTTACTGTCCAACTCTCTGTGGTGCAGGCAATGATATTATCTACTGGTTCTGTCAGGAACTCCATGAATAAGATAAGTGGAAATGACAGAGCTATCGCCATCATTATCTCTATCATCAATTCTCAAAGTGTGATGTGGGAGGAGCCAGAATCACTGGGGTGCCTGTGAGTGCTAAATGCAGGTTTCTAGGCCCTGTCCTGAACCTTCAGAATGAGAGCCCCAGCCGCAGGGCTGGGACTCTACTTGACATGCTGCAGATAGGGAGGCACCGGGCGGTCAAAGCCTCAAGGCCAGGGCCTTGCTTTCAGCACCGTTTCACACTTGCCTGAACTTCCGTCCCTCCTGCGTGGACCTCCTGAGATCAAGACAAGACCGATCAGCATCATACACAGGACCCCAGTTCACGTCCTTTCTCAAGAGATCGGGGATGGCCAGTCCGCTGCCTGGGCAGGCTTCCTCTGTCTCCCCTGGCTCTGCCGCCTCCCAGGGTTCTTCAGGTCCAGAGGCCTGGGGTTACCCAGTGGTTGAGGGTCACTGTTCATCTTGTCAAAGCACCCACTGGAACTAATGCCTGTCTTTTTGTGACTGAACACAACCCAGCAAAGGGATGGCAGGACCTTGCATGGGGTGGCCTCCTGCCAGCTGCATTTCACACTTGTTTGACACAGCAGCCGCAGGCAGCAGGCAACACAGGCAAGTCCGAGAGGCTGGGCTAGACTTCTGCCCTTGTCCCTGTTCTGGGCGCTCACCCATCAGGACTGTGCGAACTGGAGAAATCAATTTGAGGCAAGGTGTCATAACTAGCGCATCACAGCCTACAGGGAGGCTCCACCACCTGCCTTCAGGGCTTCCCACACACAGGATGTGATGTTTATAAGCCAGGAGGGAGGAAACTGGGACAGGGTCTTGCTGGCACCCTCAGGAATCCACACAGCCACACAGCTGACCACCAACCCTGCCTGTGGTCAGGGTGAGGCTGGAGTGATGCCCAAATGTGAGACTGTAATGGAGCAGAAGTGGAAATTCACTGACCAGAACATGGGACCATATAACAAAATGTGCACACTGAAGGAGACTAGAGAAGAGTCCAAGAACCAGGATCTTCTCATTTTTAGACACCTGGGGAGAGGCAGGCGGAGAGATATTGAGGTCAGGTTTTAGACAGGAACAGAAAAGGGTCCCCAAAGTGCTGTCAGGATGTGCTGTTTTGCCTAATAAATAATATCCTCAGCTAACCCTCAGTCCTCACTCCGTGTCAGACACCACAGTCAGCAGCTCCCACATACTAATTCACGGAGCCCTCACAGTGGCCCGTGGAGATTATCAGCCCCACCTCACAGATGAGGACACCGCAGTACAGGGCAGTCTCCTGCCTTGCCTGTTTTAGAGGTAGAACCAGGATTCAAACCCTGGAGTTTGGCTCCAGAGTCCGGACTCTTGGCCATGCAGGCTCTCCAGCTCCCAGCTACATGGTCATTTAGGAGATGGACTGCCAGGATGTCAGCGCTCAGGGGGTCACCTAGACCAACGAGGAAAGGGGTGTGATGTTCCCAGAGTCACCCAGCTAATAGCCTCAGGTCAGGGAGGTCTGAATACCCATAAGATTTCCAGGGGGGTCTGTCTTCTTTTCCCTCCACAATAGGACAGTTTGTGAAGGAGCTACGGCACATGATGGGGGACACCCTCTTCCTCCTTGCTGGCCTACTCTGTGATGGCATCAGGGAGAAGGCTGGGCAGGGTCTCGCCGTCCCATCGTCGGAATCTCTCCCTGGGCCTTTTTCAGAGCTCCTGGGGCCTGGCAGCATCTGAGGGCTGCAATCACTGTTTCCCCGTCTGCCGGGGCACATGAGGACATACCCCAAGGTCCAGCTTGTTAACAGTTGAGCCAGATTCATATTACAGACAGTGGCAAGTAGATGTTCTCGCAAGCTTAAAAATAAATGCATGACAGAATATTCACAGAGGCTCAGGAAGTGACTCCGCCAAACCGAAATTGCCGAGATGCTCCAGGCATGACAAGCACTCTTGTCTGGCTCCGAGGTTGGTTGGGTTTTGGGTTTTTTAGGGTTTTGTTTGGGTTCTTTATTTATTTTTTTTTATTAGGGTTTTTTTGTAAGGGAAGGTTGCTGGCAAGCTGACAGAGGGGCTCTGGCCAGGTTCCCACTCTGCCAGTGACAGTGAGTGCCTGTCCCCACAGCCCCCAGGACAGAGTAAACTGAAGGCCAGCCTGACTTGGTTAAAAGAATAACCAAGCCATTTGGATCCTGCTGATAAGTGGCTCTTGTCAAGAGCAGGTGACTGGAGATGATTTGCGGGCTGGTTTGCCCTCAGTCCCACGCAGCAGGTCTCGGGCTTTGGAGCAAAGGGCTAGGCTGAGCCACAGAGGGATGTGCATGTGAGAAAGGGCGAGGCAGACACAGGGACAGTCAGGCAGGAGAGAAGGCAGGAGCGCGAGCACAGAGTCTAGCTGCATAGCTCTGAAAATATGAGAAACAGAAATGACTTTTGCATTTTATTGGTTTGGGGTTACGTGCACCTCTGCTCTCCTGTATTTATTCAGACACTCAGACCCCAGATGGAGCCTGAAGATGTGGAGAAAGGTCACACCTCTTATCCCCCTAGGAAGGCCTCCTGGGCTTGGGGCACCCTGACACACTGATTTTGGGTGGGCCTGTTGCCATATCTTCATGCTAATTGCACAAGTAGAAAGGCCACAGGCCTCAACACTAAAGATGTGGACAGGCCCTGCCCTTGGGAAACATACTTTCTGGCCTCCTGGGGCAGCTAGGAGGCCTTTGAGCTCCCCCAAAGACATGCTCACAAGGCCAGTGCACTCTCCCCTTTCTGGACCTATGAGGATATGATCTGGGATCTAGTTTTGGTTTCTAGAAGATCAGTCCTCCTCCTTGAAACAAGCCAGCAACTGTCCTGACAGAGGAAACAACTAAAACTATAAACATCTTGTCCTTGAGTTCTTGAAGTTCCCAGTACTCTGTGCTGATGACCCTTTGATGGGGTGGGGAATTGTGGCTTCTCTGTTCTCTTCCATGGAACAAAGTGATCCAGCACAAATGTGACTGGGGATGCAGCAAGAGTGTTCCCCACCTACCTTCAGGGTAAACACAAGCATGACACCAGACCTTCACCTAGTCCTTGGTCAAAGGTTCCCTGTAACAAACAGCTTGTTCCTCTTTATATCCATGTCTGGTGTGGCCCTCTTGCCAACTGAGTAGCCCTGGGCAAGTTATCTAATCTCTGAGTCTCAGTGTCCACAGACAACTGTCTTATGGGCTTCTTGTAACTTAGAAGTAACAAATGAAAGATACCTAGAACAGAGTTGTTGTATATTAGGCTTAAGAGACCTGATAGTTACTATGATGATTATTTCCCGGACCTGCTGTAACCAAAGAGCCGTAACGGGACAGACTTAGGGATGAAAGCCAATAAGCCAATGTTCGAGTAAACGGTAAAATGCCAGGCTGGTGTAGAGCACTGCTGTATTTATCCTTATTACTTCACAAAGCAGAGGAGCCTGGGGTGGGGTGAGTAAAAGTGGAGGGGTTTTTTTTTGAGGTTTTTTGTTTTTTTAGGAGCCAGGAGAGCTATGAATGTCATGCTCAGGTTGCAAAACTAGGGTGCTGGGAATCTGAGACGACAGGCCTGGCCCAGGGAGACCGCTGAGCAAGGCCCTGCTGGATCACAGAGCAGCTTGCCGAATTACAGTAGTTGGTAGTGCTGTCAAGACAATTCCAACTTAGAGTGAACCTTACGTACCACAAATCCACACTCCGCCCAACCCTGTGCCATCCTCACAATCTCTGCTGTGTGTTAAGCTTACCGCTGCAGTCATTTTATCAGTCCAGCTCGTCTTCTCTTTCGCTGGCCCTCTACTTTTCCAAGCGTGATGTCCTGTCCTACACACCAAGAGGGTCTGAGATAAAAGTTTCACCCTCACCACCCTTGCCTGCTGAATTACAATGCAGCCCCCGAAATGAGTGTCTGCCTGGACCAGCCTGGACAGAGACACGTGGAGAGACATCAGCTGCCTTCCCTGCTTGTTCAGTAGCAGTGACAGCTTGCTCTGAGAAGGTGACCACAGTGGTCACCTCAGAGACTTCAAGGCCGATCTGAAAATGTTGCTAAGGATGGGGGCTCTATGACATCTAGGTGAAAAGAGAAGAGAAAGAGCTTAAGAGAACATGGTCATTTGCAGCCCTGTCCTGCAAGACAGGAATGGAGCATTCCAAAGGATAAAACTGAAGAAAGTTCAAACGGACCATTTACAGAAGTGTATGCAGGATGAGAAGAATGGGAATCTCAGAACACTTGATCGTTCTAATGCGAAACTTATACTTGGACCAGGAGGCAGTCGTCAGAACAGAGCAAGGGAACACTGCATGGTTCAAAATTGGGAAGGGCGTACACCAGGCATGCATCCTATCTCCATACCTTTCCAACCTATATGCAGAACAGATTATCCAGGAGGCTGGGCTCTATGAGGAGAAATGTGGGGTCAAGATTGGTGGACGATTTATCAACAATCTGCGTTATGCGGATGACACAACCCTGCTTGCTGAAACTGAAGAGGATCTGAAGCACCTGCTGCAGAGTGTCAAGGACTGCAGCCTACAATATGGACAGAGGTTCAATGCCAAGAAGACAAAGATTCTCACCACTGGACCAATTGGAAGCATCAGGATGGATGGTGAAGAGATTGAGATTGTACACAGCTTTAGTTTGCTTGGCTCCATAGTCAACAGTCTTGGCACCAGCAGCCAGGAAATTAAAAGGCGCATTGCCATGGGAAAGTCTGCTGTTAGGGACCTCTCCAAAGTACTGAAGAGCAATTGTGTCTCTCTGGAGACTAAGGTGCGTCTGATACAGGCTTTGGTCTTCCCAATCACTTGTTATGCATCAGAGAGTTGGACAATGACCAAGGAGGACAGAAGGAGAATTGATGCCTTTGAGCTGTGGTGCTGGAGAAGAGTATTGAGAATACCATGGACTGCTAGGAAAACAAACAGATTTGTCCTGGAAAGGGTTAAACCGGGTGGCTCCTTGGAGGCAAGGATTCTGAGGCTCTGTCTAACATACTTTGGACATGTTGTGAGGAGAGACCGGTCCTTAGAGAGGGACATCATGCTTGGGAGGGTGGAGGGACAGCACAGGAGAGGAAGGCCCTCTATGAGGTGGATTGATTCAGTGACTGGGATAATTGGGATGGGAGTGTCGGAGACAGTGCGATTGGCACAGGACAGAGCGGAGTTTAGGGCTGTTGTACATAGGGTCGCTATGAGTCTCAGGCGACTTGACGGCACATAACAACAACAACAACAACATGCAGGATTAAGGGAGCATGGGGTGGTATGGACACAGGGACTAGTGACTTAGGGGTGGAAGCTGTCACTACCTGTAGGCCTGAGCCCATCTCCAGGCATAGCCAGTACTACCACGAACAGGGAAGAAGCAGTGAATACAGACCCCAAGCTTTCTCCTCTCAGTGTCCCATTTCTGCTAGTGCCTCCCATTGGCCAAACTCACTGGGACAGCAGAAAGCAAGAAGATCCACTGGTATACTGCGTAGGATCAGCCTTTCAGACATAGAGCAAGGTGGAGAGATTTTGGATCGGATGGGAGAGGAAACAAACAATATTCACAGCATCAGCTACAGAGCAAAAAGGGACACATCCTTTAGAGACAAGAGTTCTCACAAAACCATCTGTATGGCTGTCTCCTGAACCACCGCAAAGAATATCATTCTGCTCCTGGAGAACTCTGAAAGGCTGGACATCCACTAGGTGCTATACCTCATGGAGGAAGGCCTAGGCTCTGCCACCAGAGGAAAGAGTCTAGGAAGAAGTGGCCACAGAAGCATTAGTGTAGTTGTCAGAGCTAATTACCAACCTGCCCAAGATCCTGGAAAAGACCAATTAGCACGTGTTAAATGGGTTTCTGTGCACTCTCCACTTTCACAAGCAGTGACTGGAATAGGATGTTGTGCCTTGATTACAAACACTGATGGTCAGCAAGGAACATCAGCTGGGGAAATCTCACACGTCTTAGCTTCATATCCAAGAACAATCTTCCGCTGATGCTTCTATCCTATGGAAATGACCAAATATAAAGTCAGACACAGGGAGGAGGTAAATGAAGGGCCAACTGGGAGGCCTAAGCCCCAGAGGCTATTTACAGAAGATTCCCTGGAAGAAGCTGGCTAGCAAAGAAGAATGGAGTGGGGAGAAAGGACAGTGGGGGTAGCAAAGGAGAAAGGCACTGGGTGCCAACTGATTGCCACTCCACAAGAACATGCCCCATTCCTCCTGCCTTGGCCCTAACCAGCGCACCAGACCCAGGCCCTCCTCACAGAAGACCAGCAGTCCCAATGTTCCCAGTTGGATGGGCTATGGTGGGCCTGGGATGGTGTGACTGCATAGAGGACCTGAAATGCAGGAATGCTTTGGGCTGGCGTTGTTTGAAACATAAAGGGACCTATGTCAATATTAGCCTGAGGCTATTTTCTGTGACCTATGAGTTGGCTCTGGGTTCATTCTGGAACAGGACTGGGTTCAGGTTAAACCAGGCCAGCCGCCATCACTCTTCCTGGAGAGAGGAACTCTGGGGGGTGGGAGGGAAGGAGGTTTGGTATGGTCATTAAACTACAGTTCACAATGACATCACCAATGTCACTTGAGGTGACCTTTCCCCTCCCTGCCCCTCATGTTTTGCAGGCACCATTACAGTGCACCTCCAGAGAGACAGCAGGGGCTGCCTCAGCCTGGTTGCCAACCCACTCAAGGAGAATCAGGGGGCCTTCAAGGTCTCCACCGAGTCGGCCGCAGTGGCGATTTGGCAGACGTTCCAGAAGACTACAGGGAGCATCACTAGCGGTGCCCACGCCCTCACCAAGTGGCAGCACACCCAGCTGGCACACTCATTCAAGGAGAGGTGAGGACCCTGCAGCAGGCTGACAGGGTCCGGAGGCTCCCACCTGCACCCCAGGCTGGCAGCTGGCTCCCCCGTTAGGGCTCCAGCTGGGAAAATGAGAAATTCAGACGCGGGGTCTGTCTAGAATAACTAATGTGACCCGAGAAAAGAATGCATTTTCTTTTATGCCCCTTCTAGAGGGAGAGATTACAACGAATTTTATCTCCAAAGTTGATGTGAAGGCAGTATGCTATACAGAGTGGGTATTTGGCACATATTTGTCTAATTAAATACCTGTTTCACTGAGACCATGAAGTATCTCTGAGAGGAGGGGGATGTGCAGAGCAGGGATGTTAGAACAGTTTCTATAAAGAGAAAGTGGGGCTGGCTTCCCTCAGAAGTGGTCCCTCTGCTCTGCCTTTGGGACAGGCCCGGGAGAGGCTATCCAGGGAGAGGCACAGGGATCCGAGGTCCGTGGAGAGGTCGCCAAAAACACCGCAAAAGCGAGCTGACCTTTCTCAAACAGAAAGGCCTCCCTGGGGACTTTTAAAACATTTATGGGAAACAAAAAGGAGTTAATACAATGAAAATACCTCCCTTCCCTAAGGAACGCAGCAGATCTAATTAAGCCTCTTGGCTCCACTTCAGGAAGCGGGTACACTATCTCCATTTCACAGATGGGGAAGCCAAGCTGCAGAGGAGGGCAGGCATGGGGCAGTGGACAAAGGCGCAGGGAGCCCCCCCACCCCGCGCCCACGCCCACTGTGGCATTCTGAGACTTCCAAGAGATGGTAGGGTCCACTGGCCCACAAGACCCTCCCTGCAGTCCTCTGCAGGAGGTGGAGGACTTGTTCTATTTCACCAGTGAAGGTACTGAGGTGCAGAGAAGGTGGCGGCGTGCCACAATAACAAAGCCTAGAATTCAGGTCTTCTGAATCCAAGGGGTAACAGGGTGGGTAGGCAGCTGTCTCCAAACTGAGCTGCCTCAAGTATGAATTCATCTCGGACACTTGAAAGTGAATGTAAACTACCTCAGCCCTCTATGAGGGTGACCCACCTTCATAAATGATTCTCGAGTTCGGAGAAATCCCCCATAGGGTTCCCATGTGGTCTGCCAGGCTCCAAGGACATGAACTGGGTGGGAAAGGACTTCCAGCCAGGCATCTGTGGGCACCTTGGCAAAAGCCATCTGGAGCCCAGTCATCCGGGGCAGCCTGTGTCAGAACCCAGCACAGAGGAGGCTACAGCTTCCCTAATGTGCCTTGTGTTTCCCTCACCAGCCCGGCCAAGGCACTTCTGAGGTCTGAGTTCCATTTCAGTGCCAAAGTTTCCTCACTGGTGGAAGAAGCCAGTGGGAAGCAGGCTGAGAAGAGGAGCTTCAACCCGTGGGGCCTGCACTGCCACCAGGCACATCTGACGCGCCTGTGCTCTGAGTACCCGGAGAACAAACGCCACCGTATCCTTGCATGAGGAGCAAGAAGGGGAAGGGCAGGGGACAAAGAAGGAGAGAAAAGAGGACAAATGGAGAGAAGCACAGACACACACATCCACCCACCAACCCACTCACTCACACACAGAGCTGCAGCAGGAGGAGACAGGGAGAGAGAGAGATGTGAGGGAGAATTTGAAGGCACAAGCCCTCAAACCCGAAGCCTAAAAGAAATCAGTTCCCTCTCCCTAAAGAAAAGTCAGTGTATGGACAACAGAATGAGAAATTAGGCTGAATACAGTACCCTGAATAGGGCCATTGGCTGGACCTCTGTCATCACGGCAGTGAGACTGGGCTGGGCATTTCTCTGGGTACACAGGGATGACTGCTGCCACCCTGTCTGTGGATGGCAGAGGCTCGGAGGTCTCACTGGGTCCCCCACCTCAACATCCCTTCCATCCAAACTCTTCCTTCTGGCATCTTCTCAAAAGGGTGGTTCTTCCTTAGAGAAGCTCCCATAGCGGGGCCTCTCAAGGGATGTGGAATCCCATTGGGCTGCCATGGTCCCCGTGAGCAAATACAGGCTTGAAATACCCTTTCATCACTGCTGGCTCTTCCTGCAAATGGGTGGCTGGTTTCACAGTATTTACGAAAACACATCTGCAACCGTAATCCCTAAGAAGCTTTTGCAGGATAATTACTCTGCCGAAATTAATATTCCTGCAACTCATCTCTGAAACTAACATCAAGCCACTTCTCCCAAAAGGTATTGGCCCATTCAGTGACTTGAGGTTTTAGCCTTATGATTTTCTGCCATAAAATGTAAATTGGGCATAGTCTGTCAGGGATTTCATGCCTACTTTTAAATTCTACCTAAGAGCAAAAAGGAAAAGGTAGAGGGGGGGAGACCCTGTATACTCATAAAGTCCCCATAAATAAATGGACTTATTAAAGCAGCCTACAAAGTTAGTATGTTGTGTTCTTATTAGCAGCAATGGGCTTGTCTATAATGGAAGCAACGAGGGAGAAGGGAGGATGCTCAGAGCTGGGAATTTCCAGGAAGCTTCTGAGGCATGCTGGCCTCCTGGGGGCAGTGGCCTTTATGTCCCTGGAGCCCTCCTTGACTTAGCATGACAAGGGTTCTTGCTGCTGGAAAATGTGGTGTCACAGTACAAGCATCCCTGCATCCTGGACCTGAAGATGGGGACGCGGCAGCATGGAGACGATGCGTCAGAGGAGAAGAAGGCCCGCCACATGAGGAAGTGTGCACAGAGTACCTCCGCCTGCCTGGGTGTGCGCATCTGCGGCATGCAGGTGGGTGGCAGGGGGCCACAGGGAGGGTGGCGTGTCCACGGGGGAGGGGGGAGGCACGTGTGTCTCCACCTGGCACCACTGCCCCCTACCTATCTTTCACATTAGTTAGAGGAACAGCAGTGGAGAGGGTCAGGCACTGCTATGTCAACAAGAAAATGCTATTCTGGAATATGCTACAGTAGAGTTAAGAGCAGGATAAACTAGTACCGGATGCTGTCAAATCGATCCCAACTCACAAGATCCCATGTGTTCCTGAGCAGAACTGTGCTCACCAGGGTTCCCAAGGCTGATTTAGAGATGAAGTAGATACCCAGGACTTTCTTCTGAGGCACTTCTGAAGGTGTTCTAAACTTTTCCTTTAGCAGCCAAGCACATTAACTGCTTGCATCACCTAGGAACGAACCCTTTAGGATAAAGAAATAAAAAACTCCACTGTCATTCAGTCACTTTTGACTCATGGAGACCTTACCAATTACAAAATAGGACTGAGCTCTGCAGGATTTTCTTGGCTACCGCCTTTACAGGAGCAGAGCACCAGGCCTTTCTTCCTTGGCACCACTAGGTGGTTCCAACCACAAACCCTTCAGTTAGCAGCCGAGTGGTGTAGAAAATCCACCATTTTCCAACTCTGCCTTGGTCTCTGGCAGCTGAAACTTCCCACAGTGGCCGCAGGGGTCCTGTCCATGTTGAGAGTAGCCCTTTGATGACAGTGTGTGAGCTGACGTTGGGGAGAGAATGAAGAGAAACAGCTGCTCTATGCATGCCAGGAATTCTGCTTTCCCATTCAAGAGAAAGAGAAAGCTGAAGCCTCTTCTCAGAGGCCATAAGGCAGCTTTGCTCTTTGAATTCTTATTAGCCATTCCCCCTTCCTAGTCTACCTTTTTCTGCTGATTTTTTGCTACTTGATCTGGTTAACAAAGTGGGAAGGCTGTTATCTGCTAAATTCAATCAGAGGAGCGGTTAACTTTTCCATTGCTCAGATTCCATGCTTCATTTTTTGCTGCTCCAATGTGGCTTATAGCAGGGGCTGCAGGAGAATGGGAGGAAATAAACTTTCTCCACTCACTCACTCTTATAGGCTTGTCTACTGAAAAGCAAAACCAGACACCGTTTTGATGGTAAATGTTATAGCTTTCCTTAATTGAAACTGCCACCCCTTGAAGCTGGAAGTGGAGTCTATAAATTTGTTGCACAGATGTCCCTTGCAAGGCTTGGAATACAGTCCTCAAGAGATTGGAGTGTGATGATTTGTAGGGTAAATCTCTTTCTGGATTTCAACCTTCTGAAATTGATCTGATTTATTTAGAAAGTGAGGCCTGTCCTGTATTTATGACAGCTAATTTAGCAGCCAATCTCTAGCCCTCCAAAGATAACACCGAGTCTATCATATCGTGCTGGTTCTCTCCAACATTGGCTCTCTGTAAACATATCATGTAATCTGGAGGACCTAAGGAGCTGTCTGGCCAGGTACATGCAGCCCTGGCCAGGTGTGCCAGGTCGAGGTGTGCCAAGTCACTCTCTAGCCATGCCTGCTGCTGGCCTTGGTTCAGCTTCTACTGCTGCCTGTGACACTAGAATGAAACCGGGGTAGCTGCCACTGTCCCCCCATGAGCATCTCTCTTCCATCTGCTCCTTCCTACTAGCCAAGACATGACAAGGGAAAGTGCCAGGGAAGGGAGCCGCCAGCACCATAGGACCGTGAGCTTTCCGCTTCCACCCTAGCCCCCTCAGCTACGTGAGGCTGCCTGGAAACTCTATCCATGTCTGATTCAGTCTTTTTATCTTCACATTATTCACCCCACTCCACCTCCAAGAGCCATTACTGTTTCCTTCAAATCTGCAGAGAAAGGACTTTGTAAACTTTGTTGGGGAAAATTTAATCTAGTTGGCTTTCCAAGGCCATTGGCTGTGATTTCAGATTCCTACTGAAGCTTTCTAGCTCGGGTTTGCTAATATTTGAATTTAAGAGGGCCAGTCGCCAGGTTTTAAATCATGATTTGGAGGCTGACATTGGAAATTCACAAGCGAGGCGCTCCAAGTCTTGTTCTCGTGGGTGGAGGGTCACCTCTGCAAGGTGAAGGATCTGGAGACCTTGGGTTACTATTAAAGACTTGCACAGAAAGCATTTTAAAACAGAAGAGCAACATTGGTGCTTGATGGAACATCGTCCTGCCATTCATTCCAACACTCCAGCCCTACGTCTCCTGGAGATCTGTTTACACATTAAGTTAGCTTGTGACGCTGCAGCCAGAGCAGATGCGAGGTGGCTTGCTGCTGCTGCTGCTGTTGCTGCTTATTAAATTTGCAATTGTTCACATTTTTCTCTTTCTTCTTTTTAATGCAAGGTTTATCAAACAGATAAGCAGCACTTTCTCTGCAAAGACAAATACTACGGAAGGAAGCTCTCAGTCGAGGGGTTCAGGCAGACCCTCCATCAGTTCCTGCACGACGGGGCCCGCCTCCGCACAGAGCTTCTGGAGCCCATTCTGCGCCAGCTCCAGGCCCTCCTCTTGGTCATCAGGAGCCAGAGCTCATACCGCTTCTACTCCAGCTCTCTCCTCATCATCTACGATGGGCAGGAACCCCTCAAAAAAGTCCCAAGTGGCCTGCATCAAGAGGCCCCGCAGACAGACCATGATTGCTCCCCTGGAAACCTCGCTAAAGTTGACATCAGGATGATCGACTTTGCCCACACAACGTACAAGGGCTCCTGGAATGAGCTCACCACCTACGATGGACCAGATCCTGGCTTTATTTTTGGCCTGGAAAACCTCATCCAGATCTTGCAGGACATCCAAGAAGGCGCATGAGAATCACTGGGCGCACATGGATTTTTCTAGGGTACAGATCTCAAAGGGGACCTATTGGTAGAAAGGGTCGTCTAGACGCCGCTCAGCTCGAATTATCCTATCTACCTTCAAAAGCCATTTCCAAATATGGCAGACTATATGAACAACAGCTAAAGAAACCAGTTCTGGTGGTAATTCCTCTTACCCTGGCACCTTGTAGCATGGATAATTTGGTATGAAGTTGTGCCATTTTCAATAACACTGAAGAGTGTCGTTTGAGTCAGAGGCTAGTACTACAATGACATTCAAGAGTATTTGCATCTCAAAATGCTGTCTTGTCATGCTGCAGTCCTTACAAGCTGGGAGGCAAAAAAAAATTTATTTGAAGAAGCCTTGATGCTCATGGGTTTTCTGTTCACACAGGCAGCCTGCTCCAAGGGCAGGCAGAGCTAACAGAATGGATGCTTCTTATCTTCCTGAGAGGCGTTTTAGGTGGGGCAGGACAAACTGGGACAAATTAGACTGCCTCACCTTGCTTTGAATCTAGATTCGGAATGGACATGGACACTCTCACACCCCAGCCCTGACAAATCGAGACCTCAGGTTCTCTATCTGGCCTGGAGAAAGGGCTTCTCCTTCCAGACTTCTGGGGGCCTCTTGGAAGCGCTTCTGTCAGATTCTGACCAGAGAGAGGCTTCCAACATGAAAAGGCAGCTTCTGGTGGGGGTGGAATGCACACTGGAGGAATCACTAGAGTTAAGCCACATTCTTTGTTTCTATTTCTTTATTTTGGGGTAGGGCCTGCGGGGGGGGGGGGGTAGTCACGGAAAGGAGGCCTGAAGGACCGAGGAATCCAGGAGCAATGTTTACAATACTGGTGGACAAGTGTAAATACAGAACAAAGAGCAAACAGTTCTAATTAATTCCTTCTTCTGCAGTGTGGAAACCTATTACAATGCCCTTGAGTCAGGCACTGAAATACGTTACCCAATTAGGGAAATAAATTTGTTAATAAAATTGCTCAGGTCACCAGTGATTACTTGGTGCACCTTATTACCCTTTCTGTTTGTTTATTCTCACCATCACACTGTATGGTGGTTTGAATTTATGGGTGACTAGAGTATAAGACAAGAACAGTTCGCCAATTTCCTGCAGTCCTTTGGGAAACCTAGGTGGGGAATGGTGGCTAATAAAATATTTGCATGTATCTGCAAGGCAGATCGGCACAAGACTTGAGAAGCACGAGATCCTTTCATGTGAACCTTATAAAATGCAAGATTAAACAACAATTTTTAGATTCTCAGGGGTAATTACCATCAACTTTCCAAAATCCACACTACCAGAAGCAAAGAGTGGCCTGGATAATAGGAAAAAACCCTCACTTTTGTTTCAGTTTTTAATACATTATATGGATTTGAAAGCAGGTTAACCTGCCTAATTATGTTTGGCCTGAGTAATGATGTGATTAATGTGCATCCTCTGTGTCTATGGTGAAAGAGGTGAGTCAAAGCATGCTGAGTGGCAAAAGGGACTTCGGCTAAAACATATTATTTGCTAATGACAAAAAGGAAACCTAATTATTGTTTGTCCTGGGCCACATCCTTGCTTGAGAAGTTAATACCACAAAACCAAGTCCAAAGTCGCCTTGCTTGGCTTCTGATTCCGCATAGCCCTGCATCTTCTGGTATGTGCTTGAGGATGGGAAGGAGGTAATGAGCAGGAATTTAAGTCTTTGGGGGCTGGTCCATTCAATTCATTAACTATGCCAAAACTGCTCTCCCCCTGATGTGCTGTGCACTGAATTATGTCCTGTTGTAAGTGTTAGCATCTATGCCAGTGGTTATAATCCCTTTTAGGAATGGGTTGTCTTTGTTATGCTAATGAGGCAGGATTAGTGTAGGGTATATCATGACTCAACCTCTTCTGAGATATAAAAGAAAGTAAACCAGCAAGCAGAGCAGAGACAGGGAAGACACATTTCAAGTCACATGAAGATCATCTGAACAGACACTCAGAAGGGACAGGAACTTTCCTCCAGAGCCAACAGAGAGTTTTCCCCTAAACCAGGCACCCTGAATCTATACTTCTAAGCTTCCTAAACTGTGAGAAAACACATTTCTGTTTGTTAAAGCCATCTCTTGTGGTACTCTGCTACAGCAGCATGAGATACCTAGGGCAGGCTGTCTGTCCACACAAAGAGACCTCCAACCACCATTCCTTTACCCCACGACGCCCTCCAGGTATAAATAAGATCTTCTTCCACTTCTCCAGTCATCTGAACTCCTGCCTAAGTTCCCAACTCCTCCAGAAGAGGTCTCTGCCAAAATATAATTTGTTGTAAAGAAAGAGACAAAGCTGACCACTGGCGTTAGATCATTTTTATATAGGAGGAATGCTGGACTCAGTTAAGTCTAGACTCTTATGCACAGCTCAGCAGATAGAGAAAGACAACTGAGTAAGCCCATTCCCCTACTTCCACCCGCAAGTGTTCAGGACCTAGGAAGAGGGAGAAGAAAGGTATGGAAAAAAAAGAAAAGTGTGGGGTACACATGTCTCTATTCCAATCTTCACTTGAAAATGGCCAAGAGTGAGAGATCTTGAGATAATTTTTAAATCATTACATGTATACTGCTAACTGTGGAGCAAAAATCAGCTCTTGGGGAGCTTCTAGTTAAGGTGGCAAGAACAACACCCATGAACTGACAACAAACAGTACAAGACAGAGGACGAAACAGATGATCAGGCCTACAGTTTAAAGTGACAAAGGAGGCTGAGAGCAGACATGTCACAAAAACTGCTAGAGGTGGAGAGAGTCTGGAGGGATGATGACAGGAGTGAGGAAGGGGTTTGGGGCTTGGTTTCAGGGAAGGAAAAGAAGGAGTAAAAAGAAGGAAAAGTCCAACATGCTCATGAGTCTGTGAAGAGATTAACCCACTAAGAATAGGGATTCTGTGGTGAGCAGTGACAGCGAAGAGGAGAAACAGAATAAGGCCAGATGGTGGGATTACTTGAGAAGCGGGCTGCATAGTTCATTCATTTGGTTTTTTATATCATGAACCTGTTCGTTCTTTCTTTTTGTTTTCTTTCCTCCCTTCCATCTATCCATCCAACAAATAGTTACCAAGGCCTGGAACATATGACACAGGGCTAAACCTGTACAATAAACAAGGGAAGTGTCAAGACAGTGTCACTATCCTAAAGAACCTTTTAATTTAACAAGACAGTAAACTCCCTCATATGAAAATATCATGAGTATTTTACCAGGTAATGAGGGCCATATGCTCACCTGTACAAAGCTCTAGCCATGGGTGCAGAAGGTCTGGAGGCCCATTGCTACAGGGGGTGATCACAGAGGTGATGCTGAGCTGTCACCATAAAAACAAGTAAAGTCCAGAGAATAGTTTAAAAGTATTCTATTTTAGGGCATTATGTTTATCATAAGAGTACGGAATGAGGGTTGCAGAGTGGATTATATTTGGGGTGGGGGTGGGGGTGGGGGGTGTGCAGGGGGGATTGTGTACCAATGAAGGAGTTTTTCTTTTGCTTTTCACGGAGAGGAGAGAACGGGGGGCGGGGTGTGGAGGGGAGAAAAGTGCAACAAAGAATGAATGGAATTCCAAAATCTTTGTAGATGTTCATTGAAATAAAAAAAAAAAATTAAAAACACACTGCCGTAGTGGTAAAGACAGCATGGTACTGGTACAATGACAGACACATAGATCAATGGAATCGAATTGAGAATCCAGAGATCAACATCTATCTATGGTCAACTGATCTTTGACAAGGAGATGAAATCAGTGAAGTGGGGGAACGACAGCCTTTTTAACAAATGGTGTTGGCAAAATTGGAA